ATAGGTTGCTTGATGTGTTCATTTGGTGGTTTAAATGAAGCATTGTGTTTCCACTTTAGGAGTGGATTATAGCGTGTGTATCCGTAGCAGCAGAAAGCTGCACAGCTTTGTGCCAGATCCAATAAACATCTTTTTGAAGACATCATCTGGGATAAAGGCATTGGCAGCATAAGTCATTCCTTTCATAATTGAGGTCACCAAACACACATTATTAATTAGGGTACTGTCCCTTTTTTGCTTATGATAGGATTATGACAGTGTGTGGATTTTATGAAGGAGTCATGCTGACTGATTTGTGTATCTCTGAATTGCATAAGATTTTCATGTTTAAAACAGACCCATAGTTTGGTTTAAAGGTTTATGCCAAAATCTTCAATGTGTAATTCTGTGGTGCTCATAGTAATTATTCTGTTAGCTGTAATAGAAAGATGTCATATTGTAACATCCAGTGAGAGTGGTAGAAAGTTAACTGGTCAGACAAAGTTTCTGATTTTAGTTTCCGAACACAAGTCAAACTGAAAATGATGTCATTTGGAAGTCGTCTGTTAATAAACAAAATTATGCATGTTGAGGCTGATTATTAGCTGATCAATCAGCTGATTAGTCTTATTAACATTTTTCATTTTAGCTGTTTTACCTTTTCATCAAACTCATCACTGCATTATGACATCTGTGTCCTAGAGTCAAAGACACTGTTACAGGAGCTCACCTCAAAAACTCTGAACTGTCCCTTTAAGTTGAACCTTGACAAATCTTTAGGCCGCTTCATGTCAGAGCGAGGTCATTATATTGTAGAGCCGTTCTGCTTCAGACTATCTGGAGACATAAACAGACTCTGCTGGAATGTAGATATTTGCTTTCAAAAGCAATAACGGCTTGATAAACTTTGTCTTTGGCTATTTAACAGCATGGTGCTAATTCCAGTTGTTTAGTTTGGCTTTTTTTTTTTTTTATTTACCATGAGCATTAACACTTTTACTAAAGTGCTAGAGTTGAGTACTGGTTACTATGCTCTCAAAAACGCTTTCAATTTGTCCCATCTGGATTTGATATAGAACCGGCTTTGCTCTTTGTCATGATTGTGCAGTCAAACTGTTGCTCTATTGATGGACAGAGGGTACGTGTCCCATGTTCACAGGGTACGTGAACATGGCTGCTGATACAAGAGGCTGCATCTTACAGAAACTCCTGTCATGCAGTGTGTTTTGAACAATTCTGGGTTTCACCTTGTAGCTTGTCAGGGCGTGTTAGCTGTGAAACATTTCTGCAGCTGATCTAATATGGCTCTCTGCAGCATGCTTGCTCTACTCCTCTCACTGTGCAGATTGAGCTGTGTGCTTTTTGACCTAAAACTTGACTGCACTTTAGAGGTCAAGGCTCAAAGCATGCGTTAAATACTCTGCATCCTTAATTATTGCCTATCTTAACTGTGTTGCCCGTTCTCATGCTGGTAGGTCAGCCTGGCATGAGATCTAGGATAATTAGATATGCTTACTGGTACATGTGACTTGACAGAATGAGGAACTAGCTGGTCAGAAGGATCATTTTGATTCATTCTGATAACCTGCTGCTGTCTCCTAGAAAAGCCAACAATTTAAAGGCTGTAAAGTCAAACTTGCTGGAAAATAAAAGCTGCGCTGTGTCTAAGCAGGGCAGAATGAAGCCACAGCGTCATGCAGATCCAGCGTATTTTCTTGCGGTTGTTGCATTTATTAACCTGCTGCTTTTTGCTCAACGTGTGTCAGGATCTGCTCAGCCCCCATCAAAGAACGTCTGCACTAACAGAGGGGTGAACACACACTTCACCCTCTCTGCATCTTCCCCATCAGTTGGCCCACATTCCTTCACTAATGAGACCTCCCCACCCCCCACACCTCTTTTATGACTCATGCCTCTGTTTTTACTAACTTTTCTAACCAAAAAAATCCTAAAAGCTTGAAAAAGATTGAAAATCTGGAACCTGATCAGTTCTTAACCGCCCTGACATTCCCACATCCGACAGCCTCCCTGCCTCTCATTAGCTGTAATATATGCCTTCTTGTCCTTGACTATAATAGTCTGTATTTACTTTCCACAATGGTGGGAGGATTGTCGTGCCATTAACACTTTATGACACGCTTCCTGTTTCTCAGCTTCATTTATCAGAAATAGACAATACTATAATTGTAGGGGCTCTAAGGGAATCTGCTATTTTCTCAGTCAAATTGTCCAATAAAGGTTTCCTTTCAGTTTCCAAAACAACTAATCTTGTATTGTTGGGTGACATGAACTTAAAGCTTTATCATTAAACTTTGTAGTACTATTGTGATAATAATAAAAGTGATGCTATTTATTACTTTTTTAGATAACTGTATTCCTGTGCTTCATTAAACAGCAGCCCCACCAACACAAAAAACATCCCCAAACATCGCTTCTTTAGGACAGCAGCAAAAGAAGTGAGCATTTTATTATATGTGACTAAAATGGCCACAATAAATGCATTCAGTCATATTTTCTAATTAAGAAGGTGTTAAAGTGTATTTATTGACACACCTTTGTTGAGCAACCTGTGGAGAAAAGTTTTTAAAAATCTCCACAGTATGAACAGCTGACAGGGTTGGAAACCATCATTAGTTGGACTTTGTTATGACAACATTAAATCAAAATCTTATTTAGACATGAGGCTTAGCTTTGGCTGTATGCTTGGGGTCATTATCCATCTGTACTGTGAAGCGCCGTCCAATCAACTTTGCAGCATTTGGCTGAATCTGGGCTGACAGTATATCCCGGTACACTTCAGAATTCATCCGGCTACTCTTGTCTGCTGTTATGTCATCAATAACACAAGTCACCCAGTGCCATTGAAAGCCATGCATGCCCATGCCATCACGTTGCCTCCACCATGTTTTACAGAGGATGTGGTGTGCCTTGGATCATGTGCCGTTCCCTTTCTTCTCCAAACTTTTTTCTTCCCATCATTCTGGTACAGGTTGATCTTTGTCTCATCTGTCCATAGAATACTTTTCCAGAACTGGGCTGGCTTCTTGAGGTGATTTTGGGCAAATTTAACTCTGGCCTGTCTATTTTTGGAATTGATGAATGGTTTGCATCTACATGTGAACCCTTTGTATTTGCTTTCATGGAGTCTTCTCTTTACTGTTGACTTAGAGACAGATACACCTACTTCTCTGAGAGTGTTCTGGACCTCAGTTGATGTTGTGAACGGGTTCTTCTTCACCAAAGAAAGTATGCGGCGATCATCCACCACCGTTGTCTTCCGTGGACGCCCAGGCCTTTTTGAGTTCCCAAGCTCACCAGTCAATTCCTTTTTCCTCAGAATGTACCAGACTGTTGATTTTGCTACTCCAAGCATGTCTGCTATCTCTCTGATGGATTTTTTCCTTTTTTTCAGCCTCAGGATGTTCTGCTTCACCTCAATTGAGAGCTCCTTTGACCGCATGTTGTCTGGTCACAGCAACAGCTTCCAAATGCAAAACCACACACCTGGAAACAACCCCAGACCTTTTAACTACTTACTTGATTACAGGTTAACGAGGGAAAGGCCTTTTGAGTTACTTGCAGCCTTTAGAGTCCATTGTCCAATTACTTTTGGTCCCTTGAAAAAGAGGAGGCTCTGCATTACAGAGCTATGATTCCTAAACCCTTTCTCCGATTTGGATGTGGAACTCTCATATTGCAGCTGGGAGTGTGCACTTTCAGCCCATACTATATATAAATTGTATTTCTGAACATATTTTTGTCAACAGCTAAAATAACAAAACCTGTGTCACTGTCCAAATATTTCTGGCCCTAACTGTAAGAACATAATGTTTTTCTGACATATTTGTTGAAACTATCACTTTTTCTGTCATGTCTAGATGAGTCATCAAATAGTGAGTAAATATGTCTTAACGCAGTGGATGCAGTGGACTTCACTTCGTCCTGATATCAGGATCACGTTGCCACTCCAAACTCTCTTAAGGTTCAGATCAGAACACATTAAAGTCAAAGCTGGAAGGTCTGCAAAGTTATTCAGGATAGTTTTAGATCAGTTGGAGAATTTTTCAGCAAAACTATCCCAGATGACCAACCCAGCATCAGCATTTTTTATACTTTACAATAAATCTGTCTGGCTGAAATCTTGTGTGAGTGTGATCTTCACTTTATATAAGGCAGTGTGCCCGACATAGGAAATGTGTGGAATGCCCTGTTCAGACTGCCATGCCTTGACTCCTGTTTTTTAGGTGAATCAAGGACTCTGTCAGCAACCATGGCAGGCAAAGGCCAGCTGTTGAGGTGCTGACTGAATAATGTATTTCTCAGAGGATTTCGTCTGAGTCACACCAGCTTACATTCAAAAGAAAGGAAGCATGAGTTTATTTTTCAGAATGACTTTCCTTCCTCTGTTTCAGACGACTGGAAAAGGCACCTCAGGAAGGAACAGAACGCTTTAATTTATACCCTCAGTAAACAGAACTATTTAAACTGTGAGGAGACTTTTCCACACCACGATTAAATGGTGAAGATAAGTAAAATCCAAATTGATAGTTTGGATTTTCTGATCTCTCAAAATCGATTACCTTAACTTTGAGAGATCAGTGACTTAACTTTGAGAGATCATGTGCCATGAGATCAACTTCACATGCTTACATGTGAAGTTGATCTTTTCCACCAATGCGATCTAAACATCAGCCACTGCCCTCTTCTGCTCTGCAGTGAGAGAGATTTGACTGACAGGCCAGCCCACCAGGTCATATCTGTACGTCTCAGATATTGTGTGACTACTTGACAATAGTCAATCCACTGTTACCAACTCAGCAACTACTGTATTGCCAACATTTCACACAAAGAATTGGTATTGGCAGGTTAGGCTTTTTAAAGAACAGTCACCAGCAATCAGCCAGAAAACTGGAAAAATAAGCAAAGACAAAAAAAAATACACACAAAAATAAAAACATTTCCACATTATATTTTAGGGTACATCCCTAAAATAATATGCTGCTTGACATTGTGTCTTTCAGATCTTTGGGGACACCGAGCCTGTCAGGATGACATCAGAGGGCTCAGACTGCCGCTGTAAGTGCATCATGCGTCCTCTAAGTAAGGACGCCTGCCAGCGGCTGCGCAGCGGCAGCGTGCGCGTGGAGGACTTCTACACAGTAGAGACGGTCAGCTCGGGATCGGACTGTAAGTGCTCCTGCACGGCTCCGCCATCCTCACTCAACCCATGTGAGAACGAGTGGAAGATGGAGAAGCTGAAGAAACAGGCCCCAGAGTTATTAAAGGTGAGGACGGCGGAGTCCGGCTGGACAGTGAATCAATATCAAAGGATATCGCAGTAGACACATGATCAATAAACATAGATAATACATCTGATGAAATATTCAATAATTTAATTGAACTCTGATCGAGAACTGCTCAGCATTCTGGGTGATGTAGGTAGAGGAAAGGTACTGATTAACCCACTCAACCCCTAACAGCATCAACTAACTCACTCACTCATTGGTTACCTCACAACAGCCTATTGAGTAATGTGCACAGCAACAGTTTCAGGTTTCAGTATCAGATATTTAAAACAAAAAAAATCTATCAATAATTTTTAATACGAACCAATATGAAAGACTTACATCAGGATACATTTTTCAGTCACATTGTCCAGCCCTGCACATGATGCACTTCTATTTGCTTTTCTCACACTCACCAAGTTGACCTGATAATGAATTGTTTCTTGTGTTCTTTTTAAGTCTGTCCCAATGGCAGCTAATCAACTAATAACACAATAAATTCATGTGAGTGTGATCATTTCCATTCTGATGATTGATATTTTTTGAAGGGAGATTTTGGCTTAATAAATCGATTTTATTTTGAATCTGTGCTGTTTTTTGTTTTTTTTCCTTTTCATTTATTGTTTTCAGTTGTCGTGTTTTATTTGGGGTATTTAAAATGTCTTCCTTGTCCAGTGCTTGGTGTTCCTTTCAAAATTAAAGTTTATTGGTCTTTGAGGGAGCAAACTTGCATTATTATGCCATTTTCAGTTTATTACTTGAAAATGGTCTCAAGACAACCATATTATCATTTTCTTATCAAGACATGCCTCTTCATATGAAGATGTGTTAAACTGATCTTCATATTATGGATCATACTCTTTAGCCATATTTTTTTGTGCAGTATTATGATCTCTAATTATTATCGCTGCATTGAAAAGTATGTTAATCTGTCAACATGGCTCATTTTTCAAAATGTTCTTTTATAGGTTGTGTTTTTCTGATTGTCCTTTTTATGAGGTGCAGCTGCTTAGTTGCACAAAGCAAATCAACCAGTTTAGGTATCTGGACCTGGTGAAGACAACTTGGAGGAGTTCAAACTGAGAATGCTGAGCTAAGGAGATTCAAGTGACCATGAAAGAAGGAAATTGATTGTGTGAGATGGATCCTCATCTTAGTATTCCAGAGGATTTACAAAGGATGTAAAGAAAGAGGAGGTCCACATGTGTGGACAAAATGCTTTGTTAAAGGGGCAGCATGGTGATATCCAGGCATATATTAACTTTTTATAGCACAATCTGGTGACTATGTTACCTTCAGTTATTCTAAAATGCTATGGATATTGACACATTTAACAAGCTACAGGTGGGACGTCATTTTATTTTCTAAATTTTTTTGTTGGACTTTTAAAGCTTGAGAGGATGGAGATTGTTATTGCTTCACTTTTTCATAAACGGTTGAAAATCTGTGCTTTAAAAGAAAAACGAGTATCTAGAGGAAGATAGTCAAGGTTCATAAATTACTTGTTGGACACAGAGCAATAATGTCTCCACACACAGAGGAATGTTTAGTGTAATGTCTTGTATCACTTTGTTTCACTATCAACAGGTTATCCAGCCAAGGTCAAGGGAAAGTATTTGCTGGAAGACGAAACAAGGAAGGATAGAGTTGGGAAAAGTTAAGAAAAAGCAAAAAAAGCAATTTACTGTAGGATGCTTGGTCAATGCAAATAAAATCCCACAAATGAGAAAGTATGAAGATTTAATCTGGAGATATTGTGGTGATACCCTCTGACCCATTTCACCTGTTTTTTCTGTAAATTACATTAGTCCAAGAATTCTATTGAAAGGTTTTATCAGTTCAATTTGTTCTGATCAGTGAAAAAAGAGCACAAAGAGAAGAAATGTGAAAGGTGGCAGGTCATTTTTACAGAACTGGAAGGAATGTGATTGTTTTCTGTTGCTACTGAAATAATCTTTCCAGACAAAAAATTAAATTAAGGCAGATGGACAGACGACAAGCATCAACATAGAAAAACCATCTTTTGCTCTTGTGCTGCAGGTTTTCTCGATATGTTCATTAATATGAATTTAGGCATCAAATGAAGACTTCCAGCACATAGAGCTGCCAGGCCTGGCGTTAGCTGGTGGTAAATGATGATGGGTCTTCTGTTTTTCTGGTTTGAATGTGCAGCTCCAGTCTATGGTGGACCTCCTGGAGGGAACCCTGTACAGTATGGATCTACTGAAGGTCCACTCCTATATCAACAAGGTGGTCTCTCAGATGAACACCCTCGAAGAGGTTGGGAATTAGACACTCACACACCGTGCAGGATTATGTTATTGCATGCCCATTCACTGAATGTTGTCTTACAGACCATCAAAACAAACCTTACGCGAGAGAATGAATATGTACGGGACAGCATGACGAGCCTGACCAACCAGTTTAAAAAATATGAGAACTACTCCAACATCATGATGAGCATCAAGAAGGAGATCTCCTCTCTCAGCCTGCAGCTACTGCAGAAAGACGCGTCTGAGAGCAAAGCACAGGTTAGTGACACAGGAAGGTGACTGAACGTGTCTAAATATTAGGTGATAATTCAAAAACAATGAAATGTCCATTATTAGTTCTGACACTTGGACACATTTGTTAGTGCATGCCAGACATTCTCCCAAATTCTGCTAATTCTGTTTTTATTATTCTGAATTCCATTTTTTAAATTGTAGTCAAATTTATTGACTCCAAAAAGCACAGAATTATGTTGTGAATGAAAACATTATAAGAAGTCAATAACCAGAGGTACATATTTAATTTGTTTTCTTTTTCACAAACAGAAAAGACTCAACATTGGCTTTAGAAGGAGTCAAGAAGAGTTTCCCCTCATTTCTTTTATGAACTCAAACTTTATGAGCTAAACTATAGATCTCATTTTGAAGCTGACAGAAAATTTCCCTTTTAAAATGCTTTAGAATTTAACAAAACACAAAAAAAAGTTAACTAAAAAGTAAAAGTTTCTGCTCACTTCTCTGGTGATCAGGATTTGGAAGATGGAAAAATAATCACCTCCAACTTTCATTTCTCTCATTTACTTATATGTTCAACAGTTGGCAGACGTGACTGGCTGAAGTTAGTTTCTTCTCTTCTGTGACTCTTAATAATTGTGATTTCTTTGCACCTCCAGTCAACCAGGTGCCAACAAAACTTACAGAAAAGTTTACTTGTATTTCACAAAACTTTCTGGCTTGGATCCTTGCTCTAAGCTTTGAGTTATGTATTTATTTTTTTGGGAGGAGTTTTTTCCATGGCTGACCGGGTCATTCCGTGTGTGTGGAGGGGAGAGCCGAGCCCGGGCCAACCAAGTAACAGCAACAGATATCACTGGATATCCTTCTCTTCTCACTGATATCAGCAAATTCAGTGAAATTCCACATTTTACCATGGATTCTATTTTGTTCATTGAATTCCACATTTCCACACGTTTTCTACACTGAAATCTAACCAGAGTAAAAACACAAGCGTCAGACTGCATTGTAAAATCCATTTCTGTCATCAGACATTTAGTTCTTTCACATCATTTTTTGACATTTAAGTCCTTTAACACATTCCAGAAATTTGGGATAAAGTCATTTTTGTGCTTTTCAAACATGAGGCAGTACTGCACCCTAAACCTAGATTTGGTACTAAAGTAGTTCCCCTGAGACATGTGAAGCTTTAGGAGTGCACTGTACAAACTTACCGTAAAATACAGGCAGCTGTGGTTACCCAAATTTTACCATATAAAAACATTCAAATCCATACTTACACAATAAAATTCAGTGGTTGAATTATTTTATTCAGTAAAATAATTCAGTATTTTACTGAATTATTTTCAGTAAAGTACTGAAAATACAAGTTTTAGGTCATACATTGGTATGAATATTTGATAGTTAGAGGGAACAGATCCGCTCCCCCTCCTCCTCACAATGGACCTGGTGTCTGAACAACATGGAGGCAGAGAAACTGAGAAGCATTATTCTCAGATTCTCAGCCCAAGAAAGAGGTCATAAAACTCATACATCCTCTTTAGTCATCTTAGTTGGTCTTAGAGGCCTTGTACTATGTCAGAAGCACAAACAGGCCTTCTGACACATATATATATATATATATATATAAACCTCAAAAAGGGCACTAGGGACATCAAGGATCAACGGGTAGGGGCTCAAGCCCCCGTTGACCCCCATTCTGCACGTGCCTGAGAGACTCTGATGTAAGGACTGCTTTGCATTAACACAAACTAGAACCAAACATGTTGACTTGTCTACTTGCAATTTCGGCATAACTGAAATTGCAAGTAGACAATTTCAATTATTTGCGAGACTGTGAGGAAATAAAAGGCGGCTTCACATGACCAATTAGCTGGAAGTCATGGCCTTGTTTAGCAGTTCCACAGCAAATGTGATGAAATTATAGCCAAGAAAACATCATAGTTAATAGAGAAAAATTAACAAACTGAAAAATATAGTCCACAAAGATTATAAAGATATTCAACACCTGGACAGAATATGAATGTAAAAGCTCGTAGACTCTCAAAGTATACAAAATAGTGGATTTTGCATGATATGAAAACACACAGCAAGCTTTTTATTTTAGGTCAGTTGAGTTTTTCAATTAATTTAATTTGGTAAAAGCCAGAATAATCAAATGCAGTGATTTATGCCAAAGAAGCCCTAAACAAGTACTGAGTGCACAGAAATTAGTAGGAAATTTAGGTTTAAAATTAGGGTTCAAAATGTAATGAGTAATATTGTAATTTTCTAAGACGGTTCATTCTCTGTGTGTAAAGAACCTATCTGAGTTCACTTTTCTGAAGTACGTAACAAAAAATATTATTTTTCAAATATTCACATTTGTTTCAGCTTTACCTGTAATAGTTTTGTAAATCATGAACAAATACATTTTATGGTATTTTTATAGAAGTTTACACCTTAAAAATACACCACAAAATATACCCTTCCATAGAAAGCACTTTAGCCTCTGTTTCCAACCGTCTGATGTCTTCACAGGACACTCATGATGAGAAAGTCAAGCCTCCAGGAAAGGTAGCAAACAAAAAGATTCCTGCTGCCAAAACGCCTCCAAAAGCACCTAAAGAAAAACCAGTCAAGCCCAAGAAAGAGGTCGTAAAGCCTGGGAAGCCCTCTAAGCCCGACCCGACCCCAAAATTGAAGGTGGTTGGCCAGCAGCCTGGCGTGGTGAGGAGCATCACATACTACAAGGCCTCTAAGACCAACCAAGATGACCAAAGAGGAGGTACGAGTTTTAAGTTTGATCTAAACTATCTGTATACTCTATAGTCAACATTCATGAAGAGCAAGTCAATGTGAGGTAAATATGATCAACAATGTGCAGTGAGTGTGGCCGTCTGGGTCTGATCCACTGTGGTTGTTGAAAACGATCCATTAGTCTCTGAGCCCACATGACTCTGAATCAGATAGCAACAGGGCAGTAGGGTCACTATTTACTGGGACAGCAGGAGTGTTCCCAGAACAGCCTTTAAATAACTGCAGGACAGGGCTCTCATTGTTTTCCTCACTTTTTAAAATTTGAAGTGAAAGGAATGATTATAGAAAACGACGCTGTACCGCTCATTATCTGCTGGCCTCAGGGTTTCTATTAGCAGGAAATCAAAGCTTTTCTACATCATCAATGGAGATGGAAGCCATTGAGGACAGTCTGAATGCAGAGCTGTCATGTTCATGACGAGCCTCAGCTCTGCTCCTCTTAGTGAGGCAGAAGAACCCTCACATCGAAGTGAAACCATTTCCTGAATCCTCTTCAGGCCTGTAGAGGGGTGATTAGGGCTGCTGCGTTTTCACTGCATAGAGCTGTCAGAACCTATGTTCTGCCATGTATGTGAATGTGACAGAGCCCAACCACCCGTGTCAAACATTTGCACCTGTTGCTTCTGCTGAGACAGGATGCAGTGACCCTTAAATCAGCAAGAAAATGCAGTTATAAATCCAGTCTTTCATCACATAAAAATCCCATTTCAAATACTGGGAAGAGAGTGACTCCATTTTAAAAGGAAGGAGAAGGGTCGCCTGTCCTGTGTCCTTGTCTGTCCAAATTAACACAATAATGCATGTAATTAATTTGAACATGTTAAAGCATTAATATTACAAAATGTAGATTAACCAAAAGCCTCTCTCCTGTGGATGATTGTGTGGTTCACGGCTGTTATCAGCTCGACAGACGGTGAGAGACAAACGAGAGTTCTCTGTGACTGCAGACAGAAACAAAAGTTGAACATTTTTAACTTTTTATTCATTTGCTCTCTAATTGTGGCGGTTGCTCAGCTGGATGAGAACAAGGGACAGTCGTCTCATCGCACAAGATCCATAGGTAATGAATGGAGTGGGACGTTTCTAAACTAACATTTGAAACAAAATGACTTCCTTCAGCCTTCATGAATATAAAAGCATGAAAAACTGAGAAGTGTCTATAGCCAAAGCTGTAGACACAAATCTTGTTCCAGGAAATTCTCTCTTCACTTTTAATGTCTGTCAATACAGAACAGTTGTTTTCATGTCAGACTGCAGCTTTTCATGGAATACAAATATAAGCAATATTACAGAAAGAAAGGAATAGAAAAACCCAGATCAATACTGACCCAAATCATTTTGACCCAGCCTGATTTTTGAGTCTGGTTCAGGTCTAAACTCTGATCTCCATTCAACTCACTGGGATACTACCTACTGGCTGGACCTGCGTTGAATTAGGCCAGTCATTTTAAATGATAAAATGATAAAATCACTTACTTTATGCAAAAAAGGAAAATTGCCATTTTGTAAAAATCAGTATTCGCTTTGACATTGAAGGTTTTTTTTTTTTTTTTTTTGTAAAATGACTAATTTTATTGATCCTGATTGATTTGTAAAACTAATAAAAGGGTAAAAAAAACATTTAAGGGGTGAATATCTTTTAATAAGCCCTGTGCATGTTGACCTGATATAATGCAGGCCTGACATATCACATCCCAAACAACCTCCAACATCTGATCAAAATGAAAAACCTTTATTTCTTCTCTATTTAGTGACTCTCATTTGAAGTGGGTGTTCTCACAACACATCATGCAGTTTCAGAGACAATATAACTGCATTATTGCTCTTCATCTTCAATGTGTTTATAATAAATACAATACTTCTTTCTACTTTTACAATTTAATATTGTCATGCAACTAGAATGTTGGACATGTGGTATAAATTGTGCAAAAAAAATGACTCAATTATAAATGCTTACAGTACCTCATTATAACATCAAGCTTCATTTAAGAGTGTTTGATCTATTCTAACACAGCATGTTTTTTATGTCCCTTGTGTGTGCTTTATTGAGCACAGATATCTGTCCCATCAATCAACAATTAAATGATGTTATCTGTTATATAACCTCAACCTGCTGCTGAGGACACTGCTTTCACTGGACATGTTGGTAGTTTGTGCAACATGTCCAGGTGAATCGGCCGTCAGACCTCAATACAGTTCAGACAGATCAGCTTTGACAAGGGCCATAAAATATGTTTATATCTGCTGTAGCCCTGATGCCTCTAATTTCTGGAACAATCCAAACTTCTATGAAGGACCTCCTGACCTGAAGGACCTCCAAGAAGCTTAATTGTGTGAAATCTTTCCAGAAGAAGCAGCTTCTTTTCGCTGTTCTCAGGTCCATGTGGTGTCAGCATGCGTGTCAGGAAGACTTTTCCCACACATCTGTCAGCCAGCTTGGAATGCAGCAGTTTCAGGACCAGTGGAAGGTTGCCCTACGATCAGACAGTCAACCTTTTAGCAGGAGACATTGCAATTGAGACCATAGTCGACTGATAAAACATTTAAACTGTTCTTCCATGAGAACTTCTCAGTTCTCAAAGCTTTTCGTAAAATTCATCCTAAACCTCAGTTGACATTTAGACAGTCAAAGGCTTTTTTCTACTGTATTTCAACTCTTTTCTTGTTTCCAACCAAATTTTGTTGCCCTTTTTGCTTGGTGAGAGTTGCTTTTTAATGTTGACAAACAGTAATAATGCTGTATTTATAACCTGATATTCTTCATGCCAAGCTCCAGTTGTTTCCCATCTGGCTCTTCTGTTCCACAACTCCTGCTCTTTTCTTCAACAAACTAACTACAAGTCTCTCTCTTTTTTTCATTTTTATTTTGTCATTTCTGACCTGCGATTTATCCAATTACTTATTGACTATCGTTTTGTTTTGAGATATTTCATGTTTTGCATATGAACATTTCCAAATGCGTACGGTGAAAAGATATTCACCACTTTATAGATTGTTACTATATCTAAAAGGTCGGTCTTCAATTTCTTGTTTTAGAAAAAATTCCATATATCAAATATCTTTCTGTGGTGCAGCGGCCCTGAGATAAACATACTTTTCAGTTGCACGCTTGGTAATTAAGAGGCAGAAATTGACTGACAGGCTTCTTAAGGATGGTGCCACTACTGATAAGCTGGACATCAGTCTAACCAATCCCCAACATGTGTGGCCGATTTTTTTCTGGCCTATTCTTGAAACTGATATTTCTTTTTCTTCCTCCACTTATATGATACAAATAACACAATGATAACAAGTGTTAAAAGTCTCATTTTAAACAAAATGGAAACATTTCTTAACTAAACAAGGAAAACATATTAACAATGGATAACAAACAACGTAGAACATTTAACACTGCTGTTCCACCGCTCACAGTGAGACTAAGACTGTCAAAGATACAGCTAAATATGTATTAAAATTAAAATGTTAAAATTTACACTGGTTGTTGTCGGCACTCAGACTTACAACATGACCAGTTGCTGTATGAGGTAATTTGATCTCAAGGCATAGCTGCTGCGCGAGCAAACAAATGCACGCATCGGCCCATGTTCATTTCTTGAACACCACGGTGTTCAAGAAATGAACACAAATATTGACACAAAATGTTGGCAGCTGACGTCTCAATTGACATCTGCTGAGAGGGAATAAATACGCTTCAGTACACTCACAAATGTTAACATTTTTATTTGACATATTTTTGATAATAAAGCAAACACCCTTGATGCTTTGGTCATAATGGCTTAATGATGCAATAATTGCTCATGAGGTTAGAAGAAAAATGCAGTGTTTATCCTCCAGGTATTGCCTCTCTTATTCTGATTCCCCTTATCATCTGCTCCGTCATCTCAGACCACTCTGTGAAAACACACCCGGCCCATCATCTAACAGAAAGTGAGCCTGAGGATGGAGGGACTGAAACTATCCTAGAGCCTGTTGAGGGAACTGTGGCTGAGACCTTTGACCCCACTACAGCTCCCACTGCCACCACCACCACTACCACCACCACCACCACAACGTCCACCACCTCAGAGCCCACTACTACCACTACCCAAAGCACCCCACGGTTAGAAAGACCAGCTCCTACTATTGTGCTGGTGCTGGACAACTCCAACAACAACAGTCGGCCCAGCCTCCACAGAGAAGGTATATGTTGAACTCTGTGCTGTGATAAGATCAGTATTTTGCTGCATGCTGTCACGACAGTGAGGCCTCCCAACTGAGCAGCAGAATATCGTGCAGTCTTGAGCTGCCAAGACATGTAGGAGCATGGAATCAATTTAAGCTCATGTTAATGCGAATCATTCTCTCCCAGACATGCAGGTTGAATTTTCTGCTTGTTACTTCCAGGGAAGATTCTCAACTGTGAAGGAACTCTGGCATCCATTGAGCAACCAGAGAAACAACACAGCTATGGGCGCAATGAGGGAGCCTGGATGAAGGATCCTTTGGCTAAGGACTCCAAGATCTACGTGACTAATTACTACTATGGCAACAACCTGGTGGAGTTCCGTAACCTGGATAACTTCAAACAAGGTAAACACCATTCTGCTGTTTTTGAGATAATGCATAGTTATATATAGTCTACAAGATATAGTTCATCCCTGTGTTTGGACTTCAAGCTTTGTTTTAGTTTTATTCCAGACATTTGAGTTTGTGGGAATATTTAAAGTTGAGGCATTTCAGTGGCTGATATCACTACGTTCTATCAGTTCATTTCCAAAGTTATGTATTTGTAAAATGGTTATTTTTGCACAATTTACCACATGTGGACTATGAACCACAGCATTATTGACCAAGAAGGAAGGCATAACATGCATAAAGAGTAGACCAATGACTACTCTTGCATATTTTGCATGTTTTGTCATCCAACCACCACACTGAAGGGTTTTTAAGGAATGGCCAGCTTAAGATCATTTCAAAGTGTTTTATCTAGATTTAAGTCTAGACTTTCACCAGGGCATTGCAAAATATTTTTAAAGAGTTTTTGAGTGGTGGATTTGTTGGTGTGATTTCCCTGACATGCAGGTTATACAATGTCCTGCTGTATAACTCAGGTCAAGAATGGATGGATGTAAGTTTTCCTTCAGTATCTTTTGCTAAAATTCATGGTCCATCAGTGACAACAAGCCTTGCCATTTCAAGACATGGAACAGGACCAAGAACGTTGCATTACATCCACCATGTTTGACTGCTGATATGAAGATCTTTTTCATCAAGTCCTTGATGCCAGACCTAATGGGACACACACATTCCAAACACTTTTATCTTTACTTTCTACACTGTATTTTTCCAAAGCTTCGGTTTAGAAAAAAACATGTAGTATTTGCTGTAAATTCTGTTTGACTTAATGAAAGTTTGAACAGACACCAATATGCAAATGATGAGTACATAGATGAGAAAGTTTACCCTTCCTATGTCTGAATGAACCGTAGACTTGTAACATGCTTTCTGGGAGCGTGGAGAAGATCTGCACATGTTGGACTTGACTTGTTGATTTAGATATGTTTAGACATTGGGTTTACTAAATGCACTTACATGCGAGGCATCCTGTGGTGTGGTGAGCTCACGGCTGTGCGCGGATGACTAGGTATCTCTGTGAGTAGCGGTGCTTCCTGCTGTTCCTTGACATGTGCTTTGGCCTTTCTTTTTGAACTAAATCCAGCAGAAGAGGATTAAGAGAGCCGGTTGGCCTCAGGGGTAGGACCAGAGAGAGTGGGGTTAAGAGTGGGGGTTGAGGGGTTCTGCTGCACATTGTTTTTGTTCTTCACAGGCTTCAGTTTATCTACATCGGACTTCCTGAGATTGGAGAGTTAGAATGGGAACTAGGATGTGATTAGAAAGTGACACCTATAGTACAAAGTGTGTTAGTTCAGGGGGGAAATCCTACATAAACAGTATCACTGTTACGCTAAGCCTGTGCACATACAGTCTGGTACTGTGAAAAAAAATCAGCTTAGCAAGGGAAGCTTCATGTTTGCAACTCACAGTAAGTAAAGCATAATGCATCTCTTACCCAGTATTGTCTGTGTGGCTGTTATTTCCTTTGTAGTAATGAACAACTGACCAAACTGTCTGTTTTTTGCATGACTGGCTTTAAGCTTGTAGAAATTGTATTTTATGTTATTTTTCTCAGTTTCCATGGTTGAGATCAAAACTTTTCTATGTTTTCCAAACACACTTTTTTTTTTACTGATTCAGGTGTTAACAAGTTACAACACTTCTCAAATATATTGTGGAGTTAAATTGTCTTTGAACTTTGATGCACCATAAATAGGCCTGATTTGTTCAGCTTCAGTCAAACAGAGGGAATAAATTCACACAGTCAGATTTTATTTTTCTTGGCAGATGCGACTCCCTACAGAAAATGATGGAAGCCAAGCAACAGCCATAAAGAGTGGCCTTTAATTTGATGGCTCCGTTTATGGGAGCCTGCATGGATAAAATAACAACTCTATCAACATCTCTGTCTTCTGTCTTTTATCTAAATTAAACATAAATGTGTTAACTTGTTGGGGCACATCAGTGCCTTTACCTGAAGAGACCCTTTATGTCTAGAAGCAGAACCAGAGGGAGACGCCTCTTTTCTCAATAAGCCATCAGAATTTATGAAGTAGCTGCAGAGGTTAAATGAACTTTAGAGCAATTCTGTTAGTTAGACGTTCAATAAAGTATCTATGAAGATCTCTACTTACCAGCTATTTGAAGGCAGTCTTTTTATTTTATCTAAGTGGGCATGTGCAGATGTTTGACTGGTAGTATGCATTTTTGTTAGCAGATGAGACTTTTGGATCAAGTGTTCATAGCTGAGTGCAGGCCATGCAGTCTCAGGAGGTGCATTAGGATAAGGGAGGGAGCATGCCTGGGGCTGGGAAGATGACTAAAGAGCGGATAAGAAATATTCTCTCAGGAGGACAAAGAACAGCCTGATTTTTCTTGGATCACAGTATCCCAGTCATGGGATAACATAAACATTGACATTGTTGGTTGTCATGCAGGCAGATTGCATCAGTGATGATACGATGTTAAAACAGAATGTGTTCATTGGCAAATGAAACTTCATTGTAATGAAGGAGCAAAAGCTAATCCTGACCTGTCATGTATTCTAGGGCGTTGGAGTAATCTTTACAAACTGCCCTATAACTGGATCGGGACCGGCCATGTGGTTTATAATGGAGCGTTCTACTACAACAGGGCCTTCACGAAGAACATCATTAAGTATGATCTGAGGATGCGATATATGGCAGCGTGGACTCTGCTGCACGATGTCGTCTATGAGGACACCAACCGCTGGAAGTGGAGGGGACATTCGGATATTGACTTTGCAGTCGATGAAAGTGGTCTGTGGGTAATCTACCCATCTCTGGACTATGACTACAGCCAGCAAGAGCTGATTGTGATTAGCAAACTGGATCCCGGAGACCTGTCCCTGAAAAAGGAAACAACCTACCGAACAGGCCTGAAGCGGAACTCTTATGGAAACTGCTTCATCATCTGCGGTGTCCTGTACGCTGTCGATGTGTACAACCAGAAAGAAGCAGAGGTGAACTATGCTTATGACACCCACACAAATACGGAGGCAATCCCTCGTTTGTCATTTACCAATGAGTACTCCTTCACCACCCAGATCGACTACAACCCAAAGGATAAGCTTCTGTATGCATGGGACAATGGCAATCAGGTCACATATCAGGTGAATTTCATTGAGGAATGAGCACAGGTATTTTTTGTCCAGGCTTGCCAGGATGACCACCAGTTAGAGGATGCTCAGTATTTATCTGTAAGAACTCATGTAGAACCTATCATTGGACGTAGATCTGTTTTTGGGCCTCAGTCAGGCTTTACAACCTTCCCCGATATCATCTAAAGCATGTTGTTATACAATTTTCCAATCCTTACATTTTTTTTGCACAGCCTTAGATAATAAATTATAATAACAAATTGAAAACAATATTATTTTCCTGGTTTATTACCAATCATCTGACTACTGAATACAAACTGGGGCAGAAAATGTCTTTCTAAGAATATATTTGATCAGTTTTTCTATTTTGTTGTCAAAAAAACCCTAAAAAGAAACTCACAACAACCAAAGTCAAAGTCCTTGTTTGGATGAACAAACTTTGTGTAGAAAAGCCGATTCTGATTCTAGCTGAATGTTCATTCTTTATCAAACATGTCAAGATATATATATACACAACAATGTTCCCTCATTGGTGTATCTTTTCTTTACATTATGCATTGAACAGAAATGTAATCATTTGGTGTTGAGGACATGCATAAAAAGGCAGAGCCTTTTCATTTACCTTGTTTTTTCAGTTTACACCATATACTTTCAGTTTGTTTGAAATCCAGGCTATGTCTGGGCAGGTGACTGAGCTCATCTGCCTTTCCTGAATAAAAGTTTGAACGCTCTTTGCTTGGTGTAAAGATGCATTATTATTCTGACAAATCCTGATTTTATTATTAAGCTTTCTTTGGATTGATGGAATAAGAAATGTTAGGAAGGTGCGTGCCGCACAGTAAACCTGGCTGGAAATGTGGTTATGTGAAACCAATAGATACCAGCAACACTGTACTTTGGATTTTATATGTGGTCATAATCATTCATATTTTGAGTCAAATGGTGATCAGAAACAACATGAAGAGCTGATCTGTTCCTGAATCACCTGGATTTTGATTTAAGTCTTTTTACTGAATCAGGAATCAGGAGTCTGAGCTCTCCATTAACCCATTTCATATCAGAGCTCACGCTCACTGCTGCTGTCGTAGATGCACAAGCAGAATTAATGAAATCACTGAATGGCGGCAGACTCTCTTCAAACACGACAGACTTAGAGGATTCTGTCTGGAGTTGGCAGACAGTGTTTTGTGGAAATCACTAATGTGTTGATGTAGTTCAACATTTTTCTTACTCTAAATCTCTGACTGCATGCATTGGAAAAGGCCAAACAACCAGCAGTCAAATGGCACCAGGAGCAGAGGAGGAATATTAACATTATTCCTAATATTAATATTATTGACTGTTTAGAACTAAATAAAAACTTTATTGATTTGCCTTTTACTTTTCTTCTTCAACCCATCATACAATCATCCTCTCAGGCCACAACTGCTTTTTTGGCAACAAAACTGATTCAAGTGACTTCAGAAAACTGGATCAATTTAAACAACTGGAGTCCATAAATGGAACCAAGGGTATTATCTAGCATAACACATAAAGTTAATGATAATGAAATTACATATTAATAAGCAGCTATCTCTGAACATTAGTAAAATGATGCTCAGTCAAACAACTCTTCAAGCAACCACCAGGAGAACTGATTCCATACTTTTGCTTTTGTCATTTACCTAAGATATCAGACTTTGCAATAGCTTTCAGATGCTTTCTGGAGTGTTTTTGTTTTAATAATTCTTGAAAAATGTTTTCTCTTTTTGGCATTTTGATATCACTTCAGCCTGTTTGAGCAGACAGGCTTCTGAGAAAGGTTCCCAAAGCCTGAGTATCAGTCATGTCGTCATTTTCCCATCCTGTGACCAAACATTTGTTCAGGAATCTGTTTTATTATCATCCATGCATCCAGTTTCTTCACCAGAGAAATGTCGAGAAGTCCTGATTAAACTGAATGAAAAAATGTACACTTTACGTTTGTATTTGTTCACAATATGATTTGATATAATGAATCTGTTATTGTTTCTTCATAAAAAGATCCAGTTTTTAACCATGCCAATAACCTTTTCATAGCCATTGTATATATTGTAAATGAGCATTGAAACGTTTGCACTTCAAACCGAGATCATCATGTTCTCACAAAAGTACAATTAGCCAGGTTATTTTGTTTCAGATTTACAAGTTTTACCACCCATGATGTAATGCTTACACAAATCTAGAATGCTTTTGTTGGTGGAAGGGGGGGATTTCCTGCAAAAATGATTCATAACCATAATGTTTTTTTTTTTAAGCTTATTACTGAAACTCATGTCAGAATCAATAAAGTCATGTGTTTAAGTCTACACGTAGAAACAGAAACATAATATTGTGTTGAAACAAGTTGAGCATGTGCTTGTGTTATGAAATAAAATGTTCACTCTAAAGTCGGGTTGTGAGCTTTGTACATTAATCTGCCGTGACCAATAAATGCCACAGGATAACAGCCTCACCCTCCTTGATTCAAAGGGAGGATGTCAAGTTAGTCAAACTTTCCGATTTCCGGATAACAGAGGTTTCTGGGTTTCTGTTTGGGTTTAAAGTAAAAGTAACGATGTTGCTTGATCTTAGTCCAGGTCTACCAAACATACATAACATAAGTCATAATAAGCCATTATTATAATAACTGAGTCATAATAACAGAGCCATTATCGTATGTATTTTGGATGGATTTCAAGTTATGAAACTCTGGAAGAAGACAGAAATTAACCATGAGGTGAATTGTGGGTGTGGTGTTTTAACACAAGTAGTTTCTCATTTGACACCAAGAAAAAAAAGCTGTGTGGTTCTGAATACCATTAACGGGCCGGTTCAGTTCAGTAATGATGTAAGGCTTGGCCCCGCTCAGGTCTGATGAACGCACCGCTAATGGTGTGGCCAATTATGAACTCTGTCATAAAACGTTGGCATGTTGTTGCGATGGAACAATCACATTCTCACCGACTGTGTTGATGAGTGCTGACAATTCACACGACCTGTGCCACTTCGGCCCTAGAAGCCCGGGGTCAGCACAAAGCCTTGACTCTGTTCGAATCAGCAGGGCCTCCTGTGCATCGGCAGCACATGCAGTACGCATCACACACCATCATGTCCCCCCAGCGGCTGGGAGGTGAAGCCTTTGTCTCAGTGGGACATTCCTGGAACTGGACCACTCAGTCACATCTAAAAGTCAATCTGCTTAAAGGTGGAGTGCATAACTTTTCTAAAAAATAATAAAAAATAAATGTAATGACAGAATGTTATGAAACAAATAACCTGTGAAAAGATCTACACCTCTTCCCTGAGGTTCTACTGCCATCTGCAGAAATGTACCGCTCCCGGTCAAAAACAACCAATCCGAGGCAGGGGGAGGTGCTTAGTGGTGTCATTCACCCTGTGTATACGCCGCTCACATCCTCCTCCAGTCTCCTCTCTACACGAGAGCTGGTTCACCTCTACATCGTCTGCCACAAATGCTATGGCTTTTTAGCATAGCATAGTTAGAGGCATACTGAGCATTTAGTTTTAGCCTCTGCTACAAACTAGTCTGGATTATTTAAATGAATATTTATTTATTGCAAAACAAAGTTTTGGTTGGCACTGAAGATCCGTTCACCACCAGACAGCTTCAGGACTCAGGGCAGAGCAGCAACCAGCACTGCCTGTTGTAACATGAGGCTGATCTGCAAGGAGGTTCTGATGTTCTGATGGAGCATGGAATATTCTGAAGTGGAGCATGAGGCAATTAGCATCTTACCCTAGAAAAATATTTCCAAATACCCATTTCCTTCATAATAAATATTAGCTTACATGTTGAATTTTTTTTTTTTTTTTCTTTCTGTCTCTTCCATCCTTCTGGTCGCTGGTCTGTTCGAACATGAAGTCCGGTCCAGTTTTCTCCCTCAGACAATAAGACCATTAAGATAACAGTGGGTTTCAGCTCTGCTGGTAAATGTTGATATTTAAATACTACTTTGAATCTTGATTTTATCATCTGAAGGCATGAAGGGAAGCCTGGCTGGTGGCTCTTTAACTCTATGAGAGCTTTGGTCTTCCTGATCCTGACAGAACATGTTGCTCTTACATCACAATGAAAACTGTGAACACACACGGAGCCAGGAACAGTTGAAGTGCAGAGCAGAGCAGAATGTAGAAGGCTTCAGTGTGGCTTTAATTATGGGTTATTTCCGGTCGCAACCAGGAGAATGTTGCTGTTAGACAGAACATTGGAGCAGAACATGAACACCAAACCTTTTTCTACATGTGCATGTACATGTCTGCTTGGTCAGCCTTCTGTCTCTCCCTTAAGCTTTGTGAAATCTCATGTGTAAAATAAGGCCTGAAGGTTTAATCTTCAATAAAACTCCAATTAAAAGGGCTTTTGTCTGGGCTTGTCCAGAGAAACCTGCAGACACTGAATAATGAAGCTTGTTCTCTAAGAGGGGGCTTTCCTGCATAAAGTCCAGGGAAGTGTCCTAAGAGGACCCTGAAGAAGACCATTGTGTGGGATACAATGGTGGCTTTCAGAGAGGAGTGAGGCGGAGTGGCCGTGTCAGGACCTCACATCAATATTTTGGAGCAGAGGTGGAGATAAATATCTTCCAAACCACCCACAAGTTTTTGCCTTGTTGCTGAGCCAACAGACTGCAGGGCATAAACAAAACTCAACACAGATTATTTATGGACATGAAATTATTTTTTCACATGAGCCTCCAGTCGACTTGACGATTGCCAAGCCGTATCAAATATGGATAGGTGGAGACTGCAGATGACAAGATAGCAGGTAAGCGGGGAGCTTGCCGAGGCTTTTCCAAAATAGATTAAAGTTGGGTTAAAATCCCCATGTGTTAACAATGGTGACAGGAAATACATCTGTCAACAATAAGATCTAGTCAAGCTGTACAGCATCTGGACCTTATCTGAAATGATTCAACTCATCCATGCATTAAAGCAAGTTAAGTATCTGCATCAGTTCATCATGCTACACGACCCTGACCTGGGTCGGGGTTCTTCACAGCCTCAATAAGGCATAATAACTACATTCAGTCTCAGGCTTCCTTTGCCAACAGATTTAAGTTGAGGTGAGCTTAAAGTTGCAGTATGGAACTTTTATAAAAACATATATGTTTTACATATTTGTTGAAACTGTCACTATGTTGTGGCAGTATATTATGAGACAAATAATCTGTGAAAAAAAATGCCACTGCCTTCTCTCAGTGCTAACAAGAAGCAACCAATCAGAGCCAGGAGGCGGGGCTTAGCGCTGTCAGTCTTGTCCATGTGCAGGGCTCCTTCCTCCCAGCATGCCTCTCTGAGTCTCTCCATCCTGACTCTTGTTCCCCAACCTGCTGTGAATGCTAAAGATAGTTAGCATGGCCACTGATGACAGCACATAAACAGTTTTTCTGTAAAGGTGAGTTGCATTGAGAAGTGAGTACATGAGTTGATTGGCAGCGCTAAGCCCCTCCTCCTGGCTCTGATTGGTTGTTTTTGACTGGGAGCAGAGGATTTATTCAGACAGCTATAGAAGCTTAGAGAAGAGGTGGAGGAGAGCCATCTTTTCACAAACTGTCTGATAACAAACTGACACGACATGACCATAGTTTTAACAAATATGTAAATAACTTGTTTTTGTAAAAGCGACATACTGCAGCTTAAAACTACATTTTAGAAACTAATCTAAAAGATGTGACTTGTTTCGATCAATCAAATCAATTTTAACCTCTAAAATATGAAAGTTTTGAGTCAAAACATGCAAATTAGCAAGTCTCTCTGGAATAACATCATGTAGCATTTCATATCACTGTGCTTTAAAACTAACACCAATGCACCAAACTCTCCAACTCCTCACTAATGAAATGCTGAATGAATTTAGTGCTTTGGGTCTTTCCTGGTAGTGAATACTGCACAGCCTGATTAGTGCAGTGATGTCACAGCATGGTCCTGGGCCAGGGCCTTTCTGTGTACCCCAAGTACCTCGTCATCTCAACTGGAGGTTCTGCATTACTCACAGGCATGAGTGTGCATGTCAACGGTTGCTTGTGTTTCTGGTTTGACCCTGGAAGGGACTAGTAATGTGTCCAGGGTGTTCCCCGTGTCTCACACACTGACCTCTGAAACAGCCAATAGTTCCCTTCAGTCCTTTTACAGTCACTGTTTAAAGTAGAGAAAAGCACAAGTAAAACAAAACTTCAATGTACGCCATTTTATATCATTTTTGTAGTTCCGAGGTGGAAAGTCAGATTTCAGCACCAGCAACAACCTTCAAGGGAAATATGATGTAAAATTGGCTTTTGTCAGATTTATACCACGTTATGTTATTCCCTCATCAAATACCTGCAGTGTTGCTTTGACCTATTTATGCAAGACAAAGATAATTCCAAAGCACCAGGTTGTGATGCAAAGTCTAATTTCTTTTAAGTTTTTTCACGTATAGAAATAGCTTTTTATAACAACTGCAGCACTCAATGTTTCTTGATTGTGCTGTAAAATGGCACTGTATGCCTGGAAAATATGTCACAGCCCCTTTCAAGTCAATGTGGGTGTTGCACACATAAAATGCACTGAATGTTGCAGAAATGAACTGTGTTCTGTTATTATAGCTGGCAGTTTGTATTTCATTAAGTCAACCACACTGTGTAACCAGACATTTCCTGATTTTAATGTTATCTATGAAAACCTGAAAGCAGCATCTCACAGACAAAACCATATCAACCCTGTTGATTTACATCTGTCAAATTACTGGACAGTTTCTCTCTTTTCTGGTTTGTGGGTGAATTGTTGGCAATCCAGTGAAAAATAATCTACCAGCACAAACATCTCCTGTGAAAGCCCCTCACAGTCAACACTGCCCTTACAAAGGCATGCAACTGTTGGTGACTACATGGTAGCAGAAGCAGCTGCACTTCTGTAAGCACATTTGCTCTTAGTACTGAATATTTCTGTAAAAATTCTCATATAAATAATTCCATTGCTTTTTTCCAACCATGTTTTTAAAATGTTGTTGAGAATGCTGCCTTTGTATAAAAATGAAAAATTAGATTATTTTCAAATATTTGTTTGAAGCTTTTTAAGAAGTGCTTTAGACCATTATCCTGCTGCAGAGACCAATGTCCTTGGACTGAAGGTCACAAACTGGCAAGTTATAATTTATCAACAGAGCCAGGTCCTTCCTGGAGGAAGGAACCAGCTGAGATGATGGTGCCATCTAAAAAGCATTTTAAGCATATTTTGTCAAACCTCCAAGAATTTGATGAATTAGGATTTTTAGGTTAGCACTAAAAAAATTAATGAAGAAAAATACAGAAGTGGGAACTATTTCCTAGACTGCTTAGCTGCATGTTTTTTTGTATCGAGTTACATTGATCCGACTCTTGAGTGTTATTAAGGCAAATGTTTACTTTAATGCAACTGTCAGTTGAGGACAATTGTTCTGTTCACACTAAATGTTTCAGAGCAGAATTTATTGT